ATGCGACTGCTAAACACAGTTTGACTGTATGCGACTTGCAGCGGACTGCTAACACAGGTTATGTACTGTAAAGATCTACAGCGACTGCTAACACAGGTTTGACTGTACGACTGCAGCGACTGCTAACACAGGTTTGACTGTACGACTGCAGCGACTGCTTAACACAGGTTTGACTGTAGCGACTGCAGCAGACCGCTAACACAGGTTTGGACTGTACCGACTACAGCGACCTGCATAACACAGATTGAGCTGTAGCGACTGCAGCGGCGACTGCTATTACAGGTTTGACCTGTGAACGACTACAGCACTGCTAACACAGGTTTGACCTGTATCGACTGCAGCGACTCGCCTAACACAGGCAGTTTGACTGTAACGACTGCAGCGACCTGCTAACACAGGTATTTGACTGTAAGACTATACAGTCAACTGCTAACACAGTTTTGACTGTACGACTATCAGCGACTGCTAAACACAGGTTGACTGTAACGACTGGCAGCGACTCTAACACAGTTTTGTACTGTACGACTGCAGCCGACTGCTAACACAGGTTTGACTGTAACGACTGCAGCGCGAGCTGCTAACACAGGGTTTGCTGTAGCGACTACAAGTAACTGGCTAACACAGGTTTGACTTGTACGACCTGGCAGGCGACTGCTAACACAGTATTGACTGTAGACTACAGCGACTGCTAACACAGGTTTGACTGTACGAGTGCACGACTGCAACTACAGGGTTTGACATGTAGCGACTGCAGCGCGACTCTAACACAGGGTTGACTGTACACTGCAGGCACTGCTAACACAGCGTTTTGACTAGTACCGACTAAGTAAGCTGCTACATCAGGGTTTGACTGTAGCGACTGCAGGCGACTGCATAAACACAGGTTTGACTGTACCGACCTGCAGCGACCCGCATAACCAACGTGTTTGACTGTAGCAGCTACAGTAAAGCTCAACAATCAAGGTTTGACTGTAACGACTATCAGTAAGCTGCCTGAGCACATCTGACCAAATCTTTGGCAGAACGATGACATCAACGCTGTGGCTTTACATCACACTGCACATTGATCGGATGATACCTTCCCACGTGCAGTAGTCCGCGCCGAAGGATGGAATGTTATGGCTACGCATCTTCTCAGGATTGCCGAATAATTAAGCATTTTTTCAGCCGTTAGCACCATTTTCCACAGACCGAGTACCAGCATAAGCCCAAAACATCAGCACCAACCATAACCATAACCAATAGATCCAAAAAAAAAAAATTACCATAGTTTTTGTTCTAAGGCATTAATATATCCACAATTATGCAATTAACTAACCAGAAAATTTTCTGATCGTTATTCAAGATCGAGTGACAGAATCCAGAAAGAAATTTTACTGATCTATATAAACGGAAGACTTTTCGTAAATAATGAAATGCCCGGCCGATGCATTTCGCATCAAAGAGAAGAAAATTCTGCATTTTCACTCGCTATCGCAAGTCAACGAGCGCGTCATTCAGTAAACATTTGTGTATTCCATAATTTCACTCTTGCTTCTATAGTATGATTTCCACAATTTTGCTCTTTTGCCCATAATAATTGATACGAATCACGCTATGTGATTAAGTTGTTTTCACGGCACAAGCTGTCTGCATAAATGGCTTCGAGTCAGTAGGTCAGTCATTCGACAACGCAGCAGGTGTGCGTAACGGTTCTTTGTGCTGGCACTTGCTAGCAGCGCGAGCTACGCGTAGACGTTTGTGGCAGCTCCAGCCTCGCTGGCTGTGATGCCGTGTTTAAGTTGTAACCTGTTGTTTGAGTTATTAAACCAGCATTAAACCTATACAATAAATGTTATAGTTCTTACGACGGAGACATAACAATATCGAAATCGAGTCAAAAAGAGGTGAGATTCGAGCTCCGCAGCTCCACCCCGGCCTTACCTTTATGGAAGAATCCTCAGAGCCGGTAGCAATGAGCCTGCCGTCGGGACTGAATGCCGCACACCGACACGCAGCCTTGTGCGCCGTGACATAGCACGTCTCGTACAGCGCCGCCTCGGGCGAATTCACCGTCGCTGAAATCGAATTTGCGCGCAATCGCCATGATGTACAACACGACAGATTCTGAATTCGTTACGCTGTACACATCAATGAAAAATGTACGGTGTTGTGAGAGCATTTTGAAATGGAATATTACGCCGACTGATGATTGCACGAGGTGCGATAATCATTTAGTGGTGGTAGAACTAGAGCTGTAATCCTACAAGCGACCCTAATAATAGTTAATTATTTCAAATGTAATTTTACATTAAATAGTCATTATTCGTCATCAATGTCGTTACTACATTCAGAGTTCTCAGTGCAAACTTTCACGACACACTAAGTCGGGTACGTTGAGTTTAAAAGATCTTTTTAAGCGAATTCAACGAGTCTCGAATAGTTAAACATGAGAAAAAGTCGTAACACCACATACTGTCCGTTTCGAATTCGAGATCGATTCCTGTTCCGGGAGCAACTGGTTCCATGGAATGTTTCTGCTCTTCATCGGATAACAGTCCGAGGGCCACGATGCGTGAGAGCTTGTCTGAGGGCGGGCATGCCGGATGAGCGGACACGAGGTTAGACAGATTCACGGCTAGTTGTTGGTGGCCATCATAAAACAGCTGACTGAATCGGGCAGAAAAAAATAAATATTCATATCATTATGTATGTTTAAAACGTATGGAAATAAAATCACGTTATAAATTTTCCATAGTATAGTTTTCACTAGCTAGTACTTGATATTTTTATTCACTATCTAATGAGATTAGTATCCAGTTACATTAGCAAGTGTGTGTGCGTACGGTGTGTGCGTGGCTTCAGTGTGTGTGTGCGTGTGTCCGCCGTACCTATGCCATGGTGTGTGTCTGTGTGTGTGCGTGAGCATTTGGGTATGTGTGTGTGCATGCGCATTTGGGTATGTGTGTGTGCATGCGCATTTGGGTATGTGTGTGTGCATGCGCATTTGGGTATGTGTGTGTGCGCACGCATTTGGGTATGTGTGTGTGTGTGTGTGTGTGTCTGCGCGCGTGCGACGGTGCGCGAACATACATGCGCTGTACCGTAGAGTTTGGACGCTCATCCGAAACTGGACGCTCCTAGGTGCGGATGCGCGCAGGTGCCTCTTGTTTTGCAAGGGCACATGCGCAGCATGCGCAGTAGTCATCTGCGCATCTCGCCCATCGAAATGGTCGCAATAAACAAACATGGCAGACAACCCGGTCACTGATGGAAACATTTGATTGAATTTTGAAACAATTTGCAATATGTATTAAGTTAGTAAGGCTGTGTTATGTGTGTCAGGTTACAAGACAGAACAAAAAGAAAACAAAAGAGCATGGCTACTATTTCCTACGGCCCTGCAAAACAAGATTCAAACAAAAAAGAAAACAAAAGAAAGACAAAAGAGCATGCCTACGGCTCGGCGCATGCGCACTTAGGAGCGTCCAGTTTCGGGCAAGTGTCCAAATTCTACGGGACAGCGCGTCCACTAGAACATTTGTAGTATTGTACACACGTGCACGTGTCTCTGCATGCGTGTGAACGTGCTTTAATGTTTGAATGCTAGGTTATAGCGAAAAAGTACTATCAGGGTCGTGGCGGTAATATTGTCAATAAACATTGTTAGGAAATTGATGCTTAAATTGAATGATGTGCTTGTACTTTACGTGATTTTCGTTTCATTTTGGCAATTAGACATTTCCGCCGGTGTCACGGTCTGAGATTGCACCGGTCTGAAATTACCCCAGCACGCCGTGCGCATGCATGACGCATGCGCAGTAGCGCTGCGTGTAAAGCGCAGTAGCATTGGGCAAATGAGACTGCCGCGGTGGCAGTCAGCGCTGTACCGTAGAGTTTGGACCATAGTAAGTGCAATAACTAATACATATACTATACTATTATAGCTCATAAGCATGATAATAAATTATACATCTACTCTTAGCATTTTGAGTTGTCAATGGGTGGTTTTGAACAATGTTTATGTTCAAAATACCACACCGGCAAACTACCGCAAAGATGGCATACAGCCACACACTCGTTCTGTGACTAGTCAACATTGATTAACTCGTCCAGCTATATGCAAGCACCTAGAAAAACGATCAGACGAAATAGGAGAACAAAGTGCCGAGTGAACACAATTATGTCGTTTAATACCCGTGGAGTTACCGTGTTATCTATACTTTAATGGCAAATTTCGTTTGAGAAAACGGTTAGTTAAAAAATTTGTTCACTCAGTTCATGAAAATATAACCTTTTATAGGGTATTGACAATAACTTACAATAGCTTTTATAATGATCTGTTGTGTAATGAAACGGGACGGTTAAAAAATATACTGCCATCACCAATTTCTAGCCATTGGCACAATGCTTAAAACAGTCGAGCTGCTACTAGAGTGCAGCGTGCATTGTTTATTCTATTGTCTACTAGCTGAAACTTGCTGTATGCACTGTAGCGAATGCAGTGCATTGATTCAATGGTAACTTACCTTGGTCAGATATAGTTGTACAAGACAGCAAATTTTAACCAGTATTAATGGCTATAGCATCACAAATCAGGAATAAACAGAGAATAAACATGACTGCTAACACAGGTTTGACTGTACGACTGCAGCGACTGCTAACACAGGTTTGACTGTACGACTGCAGCGACTGCTAACACAGGTTTGACTGTACGACTACAGTAACTGCTGAGCACATCTTGACAGAATCTTTGGCAGACGATGACATCAACGCTGTGCTTTACATCACTCACATGTCGGATGATCCGTTCCCACGAGCAGGTAGTCGCCCGAAGGATGGAATGTTATGCTACGCACTTCTTCAGATTCCTGCAAAATAAGCATTTTTTCACGTTACACATTTTCCACAGACCAGTACCACATAAGCCCAAAACATCAGCACCACCATAACCATAACAAAATGCAAAAAAAAAAATTACCATAGTTTTGTTTCTAGCAATATATAATCCACAATATCAATAACTATACGAAGAAATTTTCTGATCGTTATCAATGAATCGAGTGACAGAATCCAGAAAGAAATTTACTGATCTATATAAAGGAATGAAGTGACCCAATGCACAAAAGAATTAAAATCTTTAAACGACAGAACCTAAGTCAGCATTAACCTGCAACCCACCTGTATTGTTTTAAAAGCTCGCTTCACCGACGGTTTCGAATAGTCGTAGAGTTTGATAAACCGATCCTTCCCTCCTGACACAAGGATCTGTGAAGTCGGGTGAAAGTCCAAGCAACGAACCTCCTAAAACAGAAGCATGGGCATCACAACTCTCGCATCTACATACTGGAGATGAGGAAGCAGTAATATTGGAGCAGGAAACGCGTACGAACGTAGAATATTCCGCTACATAAAACAGAAATCTCCCCTCCCCTCCCCTCCCCTCCCCTCCCCCTTTTGCAGATGCTGACACACAGGTTTTACAGGATATCCGGTTGATTATTAATAATCTGCGACAACTCGGACAATCCATGATCGGCGTGATGTCATAAGTTGCCGAATCGACACTTAAAGTCCGTTAAGATCTCGTAAAGTAGAAGAACAGCACGGGCATCACAACTCTCTCATCTACGTATTCCGAGCAGGAAACGTGTACGAACAGAGAACATTACGCTTCAAAAAACAGAAATACCTCCATGTGGTCGTACAGGGTGCGAATGACGGGGTGATTTTCCATCGACTGCTGCGCCGTCTCCTGCGCTATTATTTCCGCAGACGTAGCGCTCTTCGCCAGCATCCTCTCTACATCGAGAATCTACAACAAAATGTCGACACACTGAACATTTGAGAAAACGATTCACTCCACTCACAATGCTCCGTGCAGGCTCCAGACAGTCATACACCTACTAGAAACCCCTCCTACAAGTAATAACTATCTAACTCTACATATATATATACAAACATACACAAAGATATGTGCACATTTCTGATACGAATCACGCTATGTTATTAAGTTGTTTTCACGGCACAAGCTGTCTGCATAAATGGCTTCGAGTCAGTAAGTCATTCGACAACGCAGCAGGTGTGCGTAACGGTTCTTTGTGCTGGCACTTGCTAGCAGCGCGAACCATAACAATTGGTGTCAGAAGTGGGATCCAACTGATTAATCTACCAGCATGGATCCAAACCTGAAAGCTGTGCTAGACGCAATGCAAACGCAACAGCAGCAGCAGCAGCAGCAGACGCAACGACAGATGCAGGACTTGGTTGCGGTTTTCAAGGAACAGCTGTCACGACCAGCAGTGGCGACTGTGTCAACGCCAGTCATACCGAAATTCGAGGCGTTCGAGAAAACGAAGGAAAAGTGGGAAAGGTATTTGGAACGTTTCGACCAGCATGTCACCTTGTACCGAGTAACGGACGAGGGCCAGAAGCGTGCATGCCTGCTTTCTGGGGTAGGCGCTCAAACGTACGAGTTACTGAGGAACTTGTTCGGGGGTGAAGACCTCACCTCTAAGTCGTTTACTCATCTGACTGATAAGCTGTCAAGTCACTTTGTGGATGCTGTACATGTCCAAGCAGCACGGTACGAATTCTATCAGTGCAGAATGAAACCCGACCAGACGTACGCTGGGTGCATGGGCAGCTGAACTACGCGGCCTCGCAGGTAACTGCAATTTCTTTTGCAAGAGCAACAGTTGTAACCATCAGAGTTACGTTGACTATCAAATAAGAGACGTGATCATTCATTAAGAGATTGAAAAATTCACCACACTCAGATGTTCGCCGTCAGTGTCTTGTT